AAGCGGGAATGGCTGTTACAACTTCTGGATGACAATGCGAGAAGCAGCATGATCATTAAGACCATGGACACCGATTACGACGATATGCCTTCCTTGCAAAAATTGAATAATACTTTTCGATGTAATAATCATATGAAAAATTGTGCATTACAGAATGTACTAAATATTTTCAATTGATGGTCTCGAAGAAAATTGTACGACGCTATATAATAAATCATTATTTCAAATGTACAGATGTTTCTTCCAACTTTCCCTTATCCCTTTTCTTAGGATTTTATATGGTAATTGTGTTGATAAAAATACTTCTTTATTTGCGGTATAATGCTTATTAGACATTCGAGAGATGTTCGATTGACGTTCAATAGATGTTCGATAGACGTTCAATAGACGTTCGATAAACGTTCGATATGGCGCAGTAAACGAAGGGCCAAGGGGGTTTGAGTCTGACCTAGTTTCGACTTATTTTTTCTCTCGTGACGTCATCATGCCCACTCTAAGAACCTTCACTAGACATCTATTAGCAACAGGCGACGGTGGTCTAGGAGCTTTGGAGCGTTGGATAGTAACTGCGAGGGCCCAGGTTCGAGTCTTAGCAGCATCCCGACAATTTTCTCTCTCGTGACGTCATCATGCCCACTCTAAGAACCTTTACTAGACATCTAATCTCAACAGGCGACGGTGGTCTAGGAGCTTTGAAGCATTGGATAGTAACCGCGAGGGCCTGGGTCGAGTCTACCTACATCCCAATACATTTTTTTTCTCGTGACGTATGCGTGACGTCACGGTCGCCATCTTGCGTGACGTCCCACCATGAGTTCCCCTTCCCCGCGCGATGTCATACCCCGCGCCTTGAGTTCCCCGCGTCCCCCTCAGCACTCCTGGGTTAGAACCCGCCTTACTATTCTACTTAATAGTGAACAAATTACAAGAAATTAAACACTACATTTTATCCTCGAGAACAACAAATGGCCAGTTTTTAATTAAATCCCGGAAAAAAACGGGTTTCATTGGTTTCCTTATTTGTATCAATAGTGCGTTATTATATGACGAAGTATGTACAAAAAAACAACTATTGAAATATATTCCATTTCATAAAATCAGTCAAGGTCATTTAGAGCTATTTTTTGAATGTATAAGACATCACGGCGGACATAATAATAATCCCCCGTTTTTTTAACGCAGAGGAAATCCATCATGGATACCCCCGACCCTTTGGGGGGGTCGGGGGTTATGTCAGACTCCAACTGACTAAAACCCCTGCGGGATGTCTACCATTCGAACCGTTGTGAGGGGAGTTAGGGGAACTGCTCCCGCATTCCCTCCCCAATACCCCGGCCCCAGGACTCTTCGGGAGCCCCATGCCATCGAGTAGCGCGCCTTGTCCCACTCAGGGAGTCCAGGGCGCGGTCCCCCGGTCGGTTCCCCGACCGGGTTGGCCTTCCGTTGATTACTTGGAAGGGGGAACATCTACCCTCCTCCGCGCCCCCCCCATTGCTCCCCTCCAAAAGAGAGGGCGGCGGGGGAGTGGAGCCCAGGCCCAAACCGGGCTTCCACTCCCCCTTCTCCTACCCTATCCGACGCCTAGGGGGGGAGCGACGGGCGGATATCACGCACCCGTCGCCCCCTCCCCCCGCGCGTCCGAAGACGAGCCCGAGGCGGCCGAGGAGGTGACCTCCGTCTAGTCGGTGGCCTGTCTTCCTCCTCGGCCGGCGTCCCCTCGGGCCCGCTGCCCAAACCCGGGGAGCGCCGTCCCCCGCCGCTGCCTGCAGCGGTCTCCGGAGCGACGTTCCCACTCGGCGGCCTCCTTCCGCGACAAAACACTGCGACAGAAGGAGGCCGCCTTTCCCCATATCTCCTCGCATGGCTCTTGCCATGCGCGGTAGCGACAATTCATTCTCCCCGCACCCCACTGCCCGGGCCAGGACACCGCGCTCCCTGCTCCAAGCTACACACTCGGCCAGGGTGCACGGTGTCGTCCAGCTCCGGGCAGTGGTGGCACCCGGTGGTGGGCTCCTTCTTTATCTGGTGCAGGTAATGACCAAAACATCCGTGTCCGGTCATCACCTGCACCAGATGAAATGTAAGTCCGCGCCCCCTCCTGCCTGCAAATTCTGCAAGGCAGGGGCGGACAGCCGTCGTTGTCAGCTGCCCGAACTCCCGCGGGGAGGACATCGCGTCCGGCCACCGCTAATAATCCCACTGCACGTCAATTTCAAGCAGCTTTTAAAAAAATATTAGTGCATGCTGAAATTCGTGATGAAAAAAACGGCAATTGCGTTCTATTAGAACATATTTCTATTTTACATGTCTCATCGGCTAATAAGGTATCAAAATCTGAAGACCTTATCAATATGACCACACGTTTATCACACATCATTAATGATACGACAGTAGACATTTGTACCAGTGAAAATGAGAATCAATCTGATTTTATTACTGATCATAATTATCTAACAGATATTAGAGAAATTTCGGAATGCTCTCAAAATATTATTGACTACATCGCAGGCTATGTCGTAAAACAATTAAAACGAAAGTTGCATTGCGAAGAATGCCTTGATGTTTTGATAGACAATAATGTCAATAATAATAATCTTATATATGTAAAAAATAGACAAGCGTTAATACAACCATCAAAAGATGTAATTACTATCTGCAACAAATGCGAAAAAGTGATCCGACGCGCAGTTCTTGTAAGTACAAATGGATTTATATCCCAGGCATTTTACGAAACATATCTTACTAATAATGTGTTGAAATCATTCCTTAATATTAATTTATTTCAGTCATTACAAAAACATACATACGATCAGTCACCGTTAGAAAATCACATTGTGCATTTAATTCGGGCTATTATTCAAAACTATATTAAAATTAGATTGCATTATATAGCATTAAATTCAGTAGATAAATCTAAAAATAAGCGTCATATATTTAATAAAATTGTATTATTTAAAGATATATAAATAATGTAATGTATGTTAATCGGGCCTTGTAAGAATATACATTAGAATGTGTTGTATTCAGCGCCACTGCGCCTGTGTATCATTTCATCCAATGAAAAATGTTCACATTTTACCTCGTCGCTCCTCCCTCAGTGGCTTCACCCCCCTTGTCTAAGTACTGATTTCACGCTCCATCTCTATATTCCTATATCTATGGTTTGGGGACGGGCCTTACTCCCCTGCCCCTCTCAACTAAAAAGGGGGGTTAGGAGAGAGGATGAGTGTCCCCTCTCTCAAACCAGAACCAGAAGGCCAATCCGGCCGGGTGACCGGTCGGGGCGTTGCGCCCTCGACTCCTTTTGTAGGAGGGGGCGTGGCACTTGGGCGAGCGGCTCCGTCAGAGCCCCGGGGTCGAGCGTCGGGGAGGGAGTGCCGGCGAAGTTCCTCGACTCCCCACATTCCGGCCCGATTAGTAGACACCCTGGTGGCGTTTTAGTCGGTAAGAGTCCGGCATACCTCCCCCCCCAGGGGTGGGGGTATCCATGAGGATTTCCCCACCGTGATAAAAGAAAAGGGAGGTTGAATTAGTTCTGGTTCCTAACAATAGATTATAGGCTTTAATAACTTCAAAGACCTTCACACACGAATCTACTTAACACGTAATACGTAAACCGTAAGAAAATCCTCCAATCAGAGTCGACTATTCCCCTCTACATTTTTCTACGCAAGACAGAAGCCGTAACGCTGAAAAATTTACCTCCATTAAGTTAGCCCCCTCCTCCATAGCGAAAATAAAGTATCTATTAGGTGCAAAGTTAAGTGCTAATTATGTGCTAATTAGGTGCTAATTAGGTGCTAATTAGGTGCTATAATCCCGAATTTGGTGCTCGCGCGGTTTGGCAGAAGAAAAATAATGGGGGAGGGGCTAGTTTAACGTTAACTTAGCCCCTCCCCCAAATAAGAAAAACGTACAACTAACATGTAAAATCGAAAATAGATTATGTTAAAATTAGGTGCTAATTAAGTGTTCCAAGAGACAATTTACGGATATTAAAAATATAACGCCGCTCAAAAGTTATAACAAAATAAATATATCATCTCAACGATGATTGTCCAAGAGAGAACTTATATTATAAAATTAGGTGCTCTCGTGGCTATGGTATCAAATTACTCGTCTCTTCACGCACTGTCGAGATCCAAGCGCCGAATTAAGTGCTCGTTTTGCAAAAATTCGCACTTAAACGTCGGCTGGCGATATAGGTTATAAGAGAGAACCTGTCTTAAAAAATTAGGTGTTCTCACAATACTGTTCTCAAAACACTCGTTTTTTATGCATTGTTTATGTATCCAAACGCCGAATTAGGTGCTCATCCCGTTTTGCAAAAATTCGCACTTAAACGTCAGCAGGCCATACCGGTCACAAGAGAGAACCTGTCTTAAAAAATTAGATGTTCTCACAATATTAGTCTCAAAACACTCGTCTTGTGATGTTTTGTCGAGATATCTAAATTTATAGCCACAAGAGCACCTAATTTTATAATAAAAGTTCTCTCTTGGACAGTCATTGTTGAGATGATATATTTATTTTGTTATAACTTTTGACCGGCGTTATATTTTTAATATCTCATAATTGTTTCTTGGCGCACTTAATTAGCACCTAATTTTAACATAATCTGTTTTCGATTTTACGTGTCAATTGTACGTTTTTCTTATTTGGGGGGTGGGCTAAGTTAACGTTAAGCTAACCCCCTCAGTATTTTATTTTTTTTCTGCCAAACCGCGCGAACACCAAATTCGGGATTGTAGCACTTAATTAGCACCTAATTAGCACTTAATTTTGTACCTAATAGATATTTTATTTTCGCAGTGGGGGGGGGGCTAACTTAATGGAGGTGAAAAATTTCGTAAGGATGAAATTCTTACGTTTACGTCATTTACGTATACAGATTTTGAGATTATATATTGTGTTTTAAATGAGTGATCATAGATACTGCTTATTAAACAATATGTTTGCCATTTCATTTGAAGGAAATTCAAGTAAAATGATCGACAATGATGATATGATTAAATCAACCGACGAATTGCTCATTGACTGTGTAAGAGGTTATCATCACCTGTATAACCATCAAGAAAAAAATTTCAAGGATTATTTAATGAAAGAGGATTCGTGGAAGGAAATCGCGTCAGTCATGAAAATATCAGGTAAGATTAATAAGATTAATACGATTAATTGGAACAATCAACGACACATAATTTGATGGTTTGAAAACATATAGTTTCAGAGTGTCAAGCACAATGGATTAAACTACGTGACAAATTTGCCAGAGAAAAACGACAAAAGGAAATAGAAACAAGGACATGGTAGTGAAGCTAGCCGTCGAAATACATTCGTCTTGTATGAAAATATGCTGTTTTTAGAAAAACATGTTAAAAGGAGGCGGTATGTTTGTCCCCCCATGCTACAATCTATTGGGAGTACAAATTAGTTCTGTCCATTTTCTTCTGTTAAAAAATGTATTTATTTCAAAACAAAATGAATGAGCAGATCAATTAAAGTATTTTCCATCGCTGGCTACTACTTTCTCCCATTTCTCAGGCAATTTTTGAATTCCATCTCGAAAAAATGACTCATCTTTTGAGGCGATCCAAGTTTGGAGCCAATTTTCGATTTTTGCGAAAGAAGTGAACCGGTGACCTGCCAAATCGTGCTGCATCCTTCGGAACAACCAGTAATCAGAAGGAGCAATGTCCGGAGAATACGGCGGGTGCGGTAAAACATCCCATTTGAGCGTTTCCAAATATTTTTTTACGACTTTTGCGACATGAGGCCGAGCGTTGTCATGAAGAAGAATAACTTTATCATGTCTTTGCTCGTATTCCGGCCGTTTTTCTTGCAATGCACAGCTCAAATGAATCAATTGTAGCCGATACAATCGCCCGTAATGGGATCTCCAGGTTTCAGCAGCTCATAGTAAACAACACCCCTTTTGGTCCCACCAGATACAGAGCATGATCTTCGAACCATGTATGTTCGGCTTTGGTGTTGATGTTGAGGTCGATGGCAACAATTGACCGGGCTTGGCGTAGTATCTTTTCTTCTTAGGGTTGTCATAGAATATCCACTTCTCATCTCCAGTTACAATCTGATGCAAAAAACCTTTTCTTTGTTGCCTTTGAATCAGCTGCTCGCAAGTGAAAAATCGTCTTTCAACGTCTCTCGGTTTCAGTTCATAAGGCACCCAATTTCCTTGTTTTTTAATAAATCCCATGTCTCTCAATCGTACGGAAACGGCTTGTTGAGTCACTCCCAATGATTCTGCAAGCTCCTCTTGCGTTTGACTCTGATCTTCTTCGAGTACTGCTTCTAATTCTTTGTCCTCGAATTTTTTTGGCTGTCCAGAGCGAGGCTTGTCTTCGACGCTGAAATCTCCATCCTTGAAACGTCGAAACCATTCCCTACATGATTTATCAGTTGGAGCAGCGTCACCATAAACTTCAACAAGCATTCAATGGGCTTCAGCTGCACTTTTCTTCCAATTAAAGCAGAAAATTAAAACCTTCCGCAAATGCTGCTTGGTTAACACAAAATTCGACATTTTCAACACTGTAAAAAGCAAGGTTTTTGTATGAAACTCAAAGCGATATAAACTGAATATTATTGGCAGATGTCTAACCTCTCTGAAACCGCCAAAATCGGCAGTCACTATGAACCATTCATAACAGCCGGAGCCATCTTTTGAAAACGGACCGAACTAATTTGTACACCCAATATCATATTCATCTATCTAGTTTCATTCTATTTAACATTAGATGGTTTTTCTTTTGGCATTTGATACCGAGAGTAAATCAATCATTGAATCAGAGTCGTTCATATCTATTTTAAAGGAAAATAGCGAGCTATCACCAATGTCAACTACTTTTTTTGATAAGGATAACGTTTCTTTGACGGCTCCAAATGTAATTACGTATGAAAAAACTCCTTCACGTTCGCCAGCTTCTCAATCGTCTTCGCCTGCAAACTATGCAAAAGTCTGTTTTGGAATGGGAAGATTCCAATCATTTGATAGGATCAGCACCCTCTCCAGCACATCTACAAAATGGATTACGATCAACACCATTTCCAGCACCTCTACAAAGTGAATTACGATCAACACCATCTCTAGCACCTCTACAAAGTGGATTACGATCAACACCATCTCTAGCACCTCTACAAAGTGGATCGCGATCAACACTATCTCCAACACTTGCATCACGAGATTGTACGTTAAACATTAAAAAAACCAAAGACTTGAACAAGATGGAAGAATCTGTTTTCAATTTGATTCAGATTATGCAGCAACGTTTCATGGATCCACGTAATTCAAGATCTATAAGCACTGCTGATAATTCATTTGTTTCATTAATAGTTACAGAGTTAGAAACCTTACCAGAAGCTGAAAAAAGAAGTAGGAAACAAATAATCTTACAAATTTTATATGAGTCTTACAATGCTTGATTATAAGAAAGAAATATATTTTAAAACATTAAATGCAGTATGTTACACAAATTACCTCTAATTAATTATTTATAAATAATTCCTTATCTATTATAAAATATATAATTTTACAAGAAAAGTTATGTTAATATCTCGAATTAATTTTCAGGAAGATCTATTCCATTAAAACCTCTGCGAACGTATGCATATTGCCACGTCACTTCACCTTCAGAAGTCAAAAAATAATTTTTTAACATATCCCTTTGACTGTATACTTCGGTTCTTGCTCGATGTGCGCTTGATGGTCTAAGATTTTGAATTCCTACAGCATTCTCCTTTCGCCATTCTCCAGGAATAACATTACCATTGTCCAATTCCGTATCTACGTAATTACTCGGGCAGTATGTTCTATGACTTGCTTACATTCGGTTGTTTTCTGTCATAAAGAAGTTATGGAGACACAAACAAGCCATAATAATTTTGTCCGCACTATCAGGATGCAAAGAGATTGGGTGAGTGAAGATTCTCCACCCTGGTGCACGGGGCTTGCGATGGTCGGCTGGTGGCGGGCAAGCAGGGAGCGAGCCCGCACGGCCGTTATGTGCGAGTACACGTGGGCAGGTGGCCCTGCTCCGGGGTTGAGCGACGGGTGGAAGGCTAACCTGGAGTCTGACGGTATTCGTTGCGGCTGTCTGCGGCCGTGGAGGGAGGAGGTTAGCCCCTCTCCAGTGGACGGCTTGTTTGCGGACGGCCTGCAAACGAACATACCCCCTGTGGTAACAGCAGGGGGGAAAGGGGGAATGGGCAAGCCTGGTGGAGCCCGGGTCCTATTCCCCCATAATCCTACCTTCGATATGAAGGAAGGTGGGATGGGAAGAAAGGGTCTAAGTGCCGCCCTACCTCCTAAGGCCAGTTGATCCCGTTTTAGATCAACTGGCCTTAGGAGGTCATCAACTGACAGTGGTGGAAACCGGGCAAGGCCCGGTTTACCACGCCGAGTAGGCGTGGACTCAGGAGATGGGTCTTCGGACCATGGAGTCAGAGGTGGCGGGAGAAGTAATAGGGCGACTATTCCTCCACCCCTACTCTGAAAGACTTTCCTGAAGACACTTCGATGGGGTTTTTAGCCGGTAGGAGTCCGGCATAACTACCTGGCCTCTTCTAGGGCCGGTGGTATCCATGATGGATTTTCCCCACCGTTAACAAAAAAAAGTGAAGATTCTCCAGCGTGCTGCAAGAATTCCAAAAATATTCTCAATAATCCTTCTAGCCCGCGAGAGTCGATAGTTGAAAACTGCTTTGTCCTCGGATAAATTTCGACCAGAATATGGTCTCATTAGGTTTTTTGTCAACTGGAATGCTTCATCATCTACAAAAAGAACATGATGTCACTGAATTGTTTCCAGGTAGTCTTATATTTTCTGGCAAGTCGAGTTCTCCATCAAACAGAGCTTGTCCAAATTCGGATTGGGAAAAAACACCAGCGTCGTTGTTGCTTCCATAAGCTGCAACGTCTACAAGTGTAAAGTTGTATTCATGGTCACAGGCTACCATCAGCACTGTGCTGAAAGTTTTTTTGTAATTGTAATATAAGCTTCCTGAATTGGGCGGTGCGTTAATTTGCACATGTTTGCCATCTATGGCTCCCACACAATTCGGGAAGTTTCAGTTTCTCAAAAAACCATTGCAAATTTTTATCCACTCTTCTCTGATTGGCTTTCGCAGATATAAAGGTTTCAGTACTTTCATTAATACATCGCAAGTTTCTTTTACCACCTTATAAATCGTTGATTCACCAACGCGGTAGGCTAATGCAATTGACAGTGGCAAATCTCTAGTTGCAAGATACCTGTACAGTAGTAATATTGAAAAGGTTGATTATTAGATAAGCATAAAAACTATCCGTTTAATGTGTGTCCATTTATTTACAAATAAAATATTGCATGTACCTGAGAGTAATAGCAAGTCTCTGCTCCGGTTGTAAAGCTCTCCAATTTCTTTTCATCAAATATACTCTCATTTTTTTCGAATAAATTGTTAAAAAGTGGTAATGTCATTCGGGTATAACGAAAAAACATAACTGGATCTAATTTCATTTTTTGCAGCAAGTTCATAAAATCTCCTTGCTTGTTACGTTGACAGTTGATGGGACGAACCCATCACCTTCTCTTAGCCCACTTTTTTTATTTCTGTCGGCGACACAGCAATATAAGATAAGCATCCAGAACTAAATAAGCACCCAGAACTAAAAGTTCCAGCAACATTTTCCTCCATCATTTATAATTCAGGAAAAGTATTCTACAAAAATATTTTTTCCTTGATTATCTTGCATAGAATTTTGCATAACCTACAAAACTATATCAAATGCCTTTCCTTTTCAGACATATTTTTGTAATAATAAATAAATATTATTTTACTCAGATTTTCTCATTCTAAGCAGCTCATTAAAAAAATGAATATAAAAATGATTTTATAATAAAAATATACAAATACAAATAGTTTACATTGTAAATTATAAAATGTCAAAACATATATTGTAAATATATTATTATCAACGTTTTACTTACTTCTCACAATAGAACATAAATACAAAAACGAAGATACAGCAAGCAGCACTTGACACTGCGATCTTTCTTCAATGATGATGATGACTGTGGACTGTGGTCGAAGCTTATGGTTTATGGCAGTTGTATATGATGGCGCTTACGTACTACGGCTTACGGTTTACATATTACGTGTTAAGTAGATTCGTGTGTGAATGCCTTAATGGTTAGTACGAATGTTGAAATCTGGCAACATTAAAAGATTTGACATTTCTCTATGACATATGATAGTTTGCGCGCTACTGTTACTGATAATTTCATTGTTTATACGCGTCTAAAATGGATCGTACAAAATTGCATTTTCGACATTTACTTTCTTGTTTGATTTGAAAAAATTGGCAGCTAAAACTCATGAAATGCTTGTTACAACTTGTGGTGATCAAACTCCATCGTATTCCAACTGTAAATTTTGGTTTCAATGATTCAAAAATGGTAATTTCGATTTGAGTGACAAAGAACGTACTGGTCAGCCAAAAACTCGAAGATTCTGAATTGCAAGCATTATTGAATAAAAACGCTCAAACGGAAAACAATTAGCTAAATAATGTCGATAAATCAACAATAACAATTTCTAAGTGCTTATACTCCATGTGAAAAATTCAAAAGGAAGGCAAATGGATTCCCCTCTGAATTGAGTAAAAGTGCCATTTAAATCGCTTGAACATTGCCATGTCTTTGTTTGCCAGAAAAAAAGTTTTTTTGTGGCAAATTATAACTGGAGATGAAAAGTGGATTTATTTTGATAATCCAAAGCAAAAAAATCATGGATTGATTCAGAATAACCAACATCAACATCAAAACGGAACATTCACGGTCACAAAGCAATGCTCTGTATTTGGTAGAATATGGAAAATGTGCTATACTATGAGTTTCTAAAATTGAATGAAACAATTACGCGGGAGCGATTTTAGCAACAATTGAACAAATTGAATGTTGAATTGATGCAAAAAGGGCCAGCGATAGTCAACAATAGATGCAAAGTGATGCACGATAATGCTCTACATGTTGCTTCAATCGTTAAACAAATGAACAAACGTTAAATTGTTAGAGCTCGAATGGGAAATCCTTCCGCACTCAGCGTATTCTCTAAACTTAGCACCATCTGATTACCATCTATTCCGATCGATTCAACATGCTTTGGCAGATATACCTTTCAATAACTACGAAGATACGCAAAAATGGTTGTCTGATTGGATTTCTTCAAAAGACAGATTATTCTATCGTCACAGAATCGCTATGTTGCCAGAAAGCTGGGAAAAAGTCACAGCTAACGATGGAAAATATTTTGATTGACATAAATTTAACTATCTTTTTAATAAAAATAAAAAATTCACAAAATAGGACCAAAATTAATTCAACCTCCTAATATATTATTAGAACTTAGAATGATAAAACTGAATGTATTTATTTCAAAAAACAGAATTTCTAGCTTTTTAAAGATATATTGGGTTATCGTTTAACTTTCTTTTAATCATTCATGCACATTTTGGAATTACCAGGTCTGTAAATATGAAACCGGAATTTGCCCATAGATGGCCCTAGCTGTTAATGTAGTTACCGTCAAACCGCGTCATTGGCGCCATTTCCATTTGTTGACATCTGACAAAGATTTTCAACTCACAACAATACAAGTTTCATACAACAGCATAGTTTGTAACAGCGTTGAACATGTCGAATTTTGTGCCTGGAAGCTACGATTTGCAGACAGCATTGATTTTCTGTTACCATTTGAAGAAAACTGCTGCAGAATCGCATCGAATGCTTGTCGAAGCTTACGGTGAGCATGCTCTTGGTAAATCACAGTGCTTTGAGTGGTTTAAAAAATTCAAACGTGGCGATTTTGACGTGAGAAACGAAGAACGTGGAAGACCACTGAAAAAGTTTGAAGACAGCGAATTGCAGGCATTGTTGAATGAGGATGACGCTCAAACGCAACAATAACTTGCGGATCAATTAAATGTAACACGAGAAGCCGTCTCCATACGTTTGAAAGCCATGGGAAAGATCCAGAAGATGGGAAAATGGGTTCCACATGAACTGAATGAAAGACAGCAGGAAAACCGAAAAACCACTTGCGAAATGTTGCTCGCCAGGTACAAAAGAAAGTCATTTCTCCATCGAATTGTGACTGGCGATGAAAAGTGGATATATTTTGAGAATCCTAAGCGTAAACGATCATGGGTAACTCCAGGCGTACCATCGACATCGACTGCAAGACTAAATCGCTATGGACGGAAGACAATGCTCTGTATTTGGTGGGATCAGAAGGGTGTGATCTATTATGAGCTGCTAAAACCTACCGAAACCGTTAATACTGAGCGCTACCGACAAAAATAATCGATTTGAATCAAGCTTTGCGTGAAAAACGACCATAATATCAAAAAAGGCAACACAAAGTGATTTTGCTTCATGATAATGCACTATCACACACAGCAAAACTGGTCAAGGAAACGATTAAGGCGTTTAGTTGGGAAATACTTTCACATGCGGATTACTCACCAGACTTGGCTCCGTCCGATTACTACTTATTTGCATCGATGGGACACGCATTTGCTGAGCAGCACTTCACTTCTTACGAAAATGTACGAAAATGGCTCGATGACTGGTTTGCTTCAAAAGAGCAACAGTTTTTTTGGCGTGGCGTCCACAAATTGTCAGACAGGTGGGAAAAATGTATAGCTAGCGATGGGCAATACTTCGAATAAAATATTTTTTATCATTTTCATACAATAAACGTGTATTTTCTATAATATATAAAAATTCCGGTTTCATATTTACATACCTGGTAATGTACCATCCTGTTTACAAACAGAGTTTTCGAGATATATTTTAAGTCTGTCTGCCGTCTGGTACTCGTCACTCGTCCTTGATTTTTGAACGTGGATGCACGCCAACAATAGTCAATGTTTATTATATCTCTTGTCGCACGTAAATAATGGTTATTGTTTATTATTGAACCACGTATTCGATTTCATTGTGATTGTGTCTCGGTTAGTGGACGATTACTTTGTTGAAGTTGTTTTTCTTGGCGAATCTGCGTTGCTTCTTATTTTTGTTTAACCTACAGGTAAATCACGTTTGTTATCAAAGCTATTGGGTGCTGTAGGATTTTGACTTTTCACACATAATACTTGCAAATAGCGAGGCTTCGGCGTTTACTGTTGGTGAGTAACGTTTATCTAGTCATGAAAACACTTAACTCTCGTTGACCGGATTCGCTGACGGAATATTTTATAAATCTTTCATTATTACAAATAAAGACTACATAGACAAGTTCCGAATAACACAAACTTACATAACACATCGATCAATAAGTCCCGGGACTAACTACTAAAACAACATTTGTTTGCCAAAATTCTTCTTTATTCATCAATATAGTCTCCTTCAAGAGCGATACATTCGTTCCAACGCTTTCCTAACTTTTCTATGCCAGTAGAACGATCTTTAGTTTCAAAATAGGCGTTAGTTTCGGCAATCACTTCTTCATTGGAGCCAAATCTCTTTCCCTGGAGCATCTTTTTTTGAGGTCTGCGAACAGCCAATAATCGCTGGGGGTCAAATCTGGAGAATACGGTGGGTGCGGAAGCAATTCGAAGTTCAACTCATGCAATTTGGCCATCGTTACCATCGACTTGCGACACGGTGTAGCGTCACTAAAACCATTGTAACTCAATGACACAATGTCGGAATGTCATGAAAATTTGACACATAACTTCTAAAGGTTGGTACTAACTGAGAATGATATGGATTTGTTATTAGAGGCGCCATTTGTTGGTTAGTCCCGGGACTTATTGATCGATGTGTTATATGCATGATACAATTATAAAATATGTTATCTCCGCGATTCCCGAATGAACATCACACAAGTGTCACGAATTATAATTTTTATATTTTACTATTGAGAAAGGTCGAAAAATTACGACTGGAACATACGTATGGATATTTATAAATTTTAACTATGATTATTAAAAGTAAATAATTGACACGACTAACAGCGTACTAGCTCAATTGTCTTTTTATTCTCGTTTGTTTCCTGAATCACATATTTGTGAAATTTATGTTTATACTGCAATTTTACAGAAAAGCCAAAGTGAATAAAAAAGGACAAGCGCGTTGTGCATGAAATGCATTAAATATCTTGATAATATAATACAAAATTAAAAAGATATAAACTAGATATACTAACATGTTTATTGTAAGACATTATTATGTATGTGTATGAATGAATTTTATATTATCGCTTAAATGTTATCAAATATGATTTCACCTATTTAGCGCATAATATAATTTAATAATATATTATAAAATTTAAGATTGACAATTATATATACAATTAGAGGCCTGTAAAATTTAAATGACAATCGTAAAGCGCGTAACTAAATTAAAAAATGTTTTATATAATATTAATAAAAATTATTGAATCAATACGTATGAAAACGTATTCGGTCATTAATTTGACAGAAATAAATTGCTAACAAAAAAATTATCCCGTAAAATTTGAAACACCAATCTTCTAACTTTCAACTGGCTGGCATCCAACTTTCAGCTTTCAGCTGGGTAGCGTCCAGCTTTCAGCTAGCTGGCGTCCAGCTTTCAGGTGGCTGGCGTCCAGCTTTTATATTTCGTATTTATTATATAAAAAATATATAATTCATTATATAAAATATATATAATTCATTATATAAAATAAAATAAGCATACGATCAGAAATAATATAACTTAATGTTTTAAGAACATAATGGTATAATCTCATTATGCCCAGACATGTGTAAGTTTGGATTATGTAATACAAAACGTTAGAGGTAATCGGTGTTTGTATAGGAATTTGATTAAAATGACGAGAAAAGATGGGTTAATAACGTTAATGTTCATACGAAAACGAAAAAAAAATTTTGTCATAGTTTAACCTGTGTAAATATACTTAGCAATTTGTAGTAGAGATACAGAGAACGTAGCAAACGCATTAAACAATTTGTAGCATCTTTCAACTAAAAATAATATGACAATTAATAATGGTATGTAATAAGAGACATTTAACAGTAATAATGGCAAAACGTTTTATTGCATGACAACATCTCTGTAAAAAGTTTTCGATCATACTCCATTATGCCCCGTGGTCTCATTATACCCCAAGTTCCCCTATCATT